AGCTTCCTTGCTTTTTTATAAAACCCGAATTTGTTTGTGCACAGAAATTCTCTTTCTTGATGCAAACCTCTTTTTTCAATAAGCTCCTTAATTGGAGGATCAGAGGAGGTAGCACGGGCTTTCTTCCTGGGGGCCATTGGATTGTTACCTGCAAAGAGAAAGCAAAGCACACCACACACTAACTAAGCAAATAACACACCACAATCATGAAACAACCAACAAAGAAAAAGAAGAAAACTAACCTAAAAATAAAGAAAAACTATCCCCCAAACTTAAATCAAGGAGCCAGAACACCTTCTCACCATTACTTAATCCCTTTCTAAACCTGAGTTATAAAATACCCCCAATTCAAACCAAGTTCACAAAGGTTCTCTTTTATCTTTTAATTTCAAAATCAGACAACCATCAGTAGCTGCCAATTTAAACTAATTTCACTAAATCAAAATGACATTTCCAAATCAGTTACAAGTGAAAAAGAACTACATAACTTGGGTAATGAACCGGTGTTATTTGAAAATTTAGACAAGCATCTCATTTCCTCAAATCAGGTCCAAGCTATGATCACTCAATTTCACAAGTATCACATTTTATCCAATACATGTTCACATATAGTTGGGCAATAAGGGATTATCACCTAACCACAATGTAACCTCAGAGAATCAAAAATGCCCCCATCTAGAGTTCTAAAATCATCTAACCACAATGCACAACCCTAGCATTACCCATCTCCAGCAAAACTAAACTAAAATAAAAGAAATAAAAGAGTAAGAAAGAATATACCTACACGGTCGACTAAGGGAGAGGAGGCCCTGAAACAAACACACAGAAGGGTGGTACCGACGGTGAGGGGAAATAGGAAGGTGGCGGCGGGAGAGAAAGGAGATGACCGGCAATTTCGAATGGACCAAAGGAGTGATATTTCGAATGGGAATGGGGGGTTATCGAAAGGGAGGGGAAACCAAAGGGGGGGATTATCTGATGGGGGGTTTTGAAATTGGGATAGGGAGTGAAAAGACCAAAGGGTTAGGGTTTTAAAATTAAAACAACGAATCTACCCTCAAAACCGGTCAGATACACAAGGGCAAAGTGGGTATTGAGACAAATGAGTAAGGTTAAAACGGGGCACATGAAGAAGAAGATCAGATATTGCGAGAAGGAGCCGTGGCGGATTCACCAAGGTGCCGCGGCGCCTTTTACAGAACTGCAGAATCCTGGCTTAAGTAATCAAGCCGCGGCGTCTATGTTCAAACGCCGTGGCGGTTTGTACCGAGAGGGATCTAAAACCAAGGACGAAGGAGCCGCGACGGATTAACTCAGGGGCCGCGGCGCCTATTACAGAAAGAGGGTTCTGAAACAGATAAGGCGCCGCAGCTTCTGATCAAATGCGCCGCGGCGCCTCACACAGAGATGGCTTACACAAAAAATTAATAAACACACACACAATAAAATAAGACTAAACACAAACACAAGCATAAAAACAAACACAACACAAACAACCACATAAAAGCAAAACCCACAAGCCTCAATTTAACACAAATTCAAACCAATCAAGCCCAATGCCACTGCTGGAGATTAAGGTGAGGTGCACTTCCTTGGTTGTGCTAATTAGAAATCAACCACTCCTGCTAAGCTCCAAAGTTTGAGGAATAAACCAAAAGGCCTACAAAAACAAAGATCAACCGTAAATCCACTAAAACAAAACCGAAATAAAAGAAACACATCAAAGGCAAGTTTAGAGCTTGGGTTGCCTCCCAAGTAGTGCTTGGTTTATAGTCTTCAGCCTGACTCTTCAGCTCTTTTATGATTGTTCAGCAAAGTAGATCATAGAGACTTGACGATCCACCTGTCCACCCCAATAATGCTTCAAACGATGGCCATTTGCATGAAATCTTTCACCTTTTTCATTTTCCAGCTCCATCGCACCATGGTTAGCAGCTTGTATCATAGTGAATGGCCCTGACCAACGTGATTTGAGTTTGCCTGGAAATAATCTCAATTTGGAATTATGAAGTAACACCTTTTGCCCCGCTTCAAAGACCTTAGGGATAATTTTCTAATCATGATACTTCTTGGTCCGTTCCTTATAGAGCCTTTCATAGGCTTTAAGGCGAAATTCCTCCAATTCATTCAGTTGAAGGAGCCTTTTTGCACCAACAGCTTGAAAGTCAAAGTTGAGTTTTTTTATGGCCTAGTAAGCTCCATGTTCCAATTCTACAAGCAAATGACATGCTTTTCCAAACACCAACCAATAGGGAGACATCCCAATCAGAGTTTTATATGTTGTCCTATAGGCCCAAAGAGCATTATCCAATTTTAATGACCAATCTTTTCTTGTTGCACCTACTACCTTCTCAAGAATGCTTTTGATCTCTCGGTTGGATATTTCTGCTTGGCCATTTGATTGAGGATGGTAAGCCAAAGTTACCTTGTGCTTTACACCATATTTCTTCATCAGAGCTTGAAATTGGTGATTGCAAAAGTGAGAACCACCATCACTAATAATAGCCCGAGATGCTCCAAATCTCGTGAAGATGTTTTTCTTTAAGAATTTGATCACCGTTTTAGCATCACTGGATACACATGCAGTAGCTTCAACCCATTTCGAGACATAATCCACAGCAACCAAAATGTACTCTTAATTGAGAGACTTTGGAAACGGGCCCATGAAGTCAATTCCCCATACATCAAAGAGTTCAACTTCCAGAATATTATTCAGAGGCATTTCATTCCTTCTTGATATGTTTCCCACTCGTTGACACTGATCACATCGGATCACAAAGGCATATGCATCTTTAAATAGGAAAGGCCAATAAAAACCACTTTGAAGGACTTTGGTAGCAGTTTTCTCTCCTCCAAAGTGCCCACCATAGGCTGAAGAGTGGCAACACTCTAGAATATCTTGCTGCTCAACTTCCGGAACACATCTTCTTATCATTTGATCGGCACATCTTTTGAACAAGTAAGGTTCTTCCCAGAAGTACATCTTTGCATCGTGAAGAAATTTCCTCTTTTGATGGGAGTTAAGGTCTAGTGGTAGAGTTCTACAAACCAGATAATTAACCATATCTGCATACCATGGAGTAGTTGAGTTATCCACAAAGAATAAGCATTCATCGGGAAAAGCTGCATTGATCTCTTGACATTGATCATGTTTAACTTCACTACTTAATCGAGATAGATGATCTGCCACTTGGTTCTCAGTGCCTTTCCTATCAACAATTTCCAAGTCAAATTTTTGAAGCAAAAGAACCCATCGAATCAGGCGTGCTTTGGAATCTTTCTTGGTAAACAAGTACTTTAGGGCAGAGTGGTCTGTATAGATCATCACTTTAGTGCCCACAATATAAGACCGGAATTTCTCACAGGTAAACACCACTGCAAGCAATTCTTTCTCTGTAGTAGTGTAGTTAAGTTGGGCATCATCCAAGGTTTTACTAGCATAGTAGATGGAATGGAAGATCTTTCCTACTTTTTGTCCTAGAACTGCTCCAACGGCAAAATCACTAGCATCTGCCATAATGATGAAAGGTAGCTCCCAATTAGGTGCCACTAAAATTGGTGCTGAGGTGAGCTTCTTCTTTAACTCCTCAAAAGAGTTCATACAAGCATCATCAAACTTGAACTCCCTATCTTTCTCCAACAAAGCACAAAGGCTTAGTGGTTTTAGAGAAATCTTTAATGAAACGACGGTAGAATCCCGCATGACCCAAGAAACTTCTAATACCCTTAATACTTGTTGGTGGAGGCAATTGCTCAATAACAGATACCTTTGCCTTGTCAACTTCTAGGCCTTGTTTGGATACTCGATGACCAAGGACAATACCCTCTTGCATCATGAAGTGACATTTTTCCCAATTCAAAACCAAATTAGTTTCTTCACATCGTTGCAGAACGGCCACCAAATTATCTAAGCAACAATCAAAAGAATCTCCAAAAATAAAGAAGTCATCCATGAACACTTCAATTGTTTTCTCAATCATGTCAGCAAAGATGGCCATTATGCATCTTTGGAATGTTGCTGGAGCATTGCAAAGACCAAATGGCATTCTTTTGAAAGCAAACGTGCCATATGGACAAGTAAAGGTTGTTTTCTCTTGATCTTCTGGGACTATTACAATTTGGTTGTATCCTGAATACCCATCCAAGAAACAAAAGAATTCTTGCCCAGCAAGTTTATCCAACATCTGATCAATAAATGGCAGCGGGAAATGGTCTTTTCTGGTTGCTGTATTTAACTTTCGATAATCCATGCAAATTCTCCACCCAGTCACAGTACGAGTTGGAACTAGCTCATTTCGGGTGTTAGCCACTACAGTTATACCGCCTTTTTTAGGGACGCATTGAACTGGGCTCACCCATGAACTATCAAAAATAGGGTAGACTATGCCAGCAGAAAGCCATTTCAGGATCTCTTTCTTGACTACTTCTTTCATAACCGGGTTTAATCTCCTTTGATGCTCAATGGAAGGTTTGTGACCATCCTCTAATAAAATCTTGTGCATACAAATAGAAGGGCTGATCCCTTTGATGTCAGCTATGGACCACCCAATAGCTTTCTTGTGGTGTCTCAAGACCCTTAACAGTTTCTCTTCTTGCAACGTGGACAACTTAGAAGAAACGATCACAAGTAAAGTAGTAGAATTACCCAAGTAGGCATACTTGAGATGTGATGGTAAAGTCTTCAACTCCAACACCGGCGGTTCATCCACAGAAGGCTTTAGAGGAGAGCTTAAAGCACTAGTCACATCTAGAGGCTCAAAAGTCTTAGCTTTTCGATATGGAAATGCTTCAATACTCATCATTTCTGCATAAGCTTCAACCTTGCCATCAATACTACTTGTTTCTCCAATCAACAATGCTTCTAATAGGTCTTTGGTCAAAGAGTTAATCAACTCCTCTTGCACTATAGAATCAATCACATCGATACAATTATAGTGAGCAGAATCATCTGGAAACTTCAAGGCTTGATTCATGTTGAATATCACCTTCTTATCATTTACTCACATGGTGATCTCACCCTTTTCTACATCAATGAGGGTTCTTGCAGTAGCTAAGAATGGCAGTCCCAAAATAATGTTCCAATCTACCTCACAGTCTAACACAATGAAATCAGCTAGGAATATGAATTTATCTACCTTCACCAAGACATCTTCTACAATCCCTTTTGGATATGAGATACTTCTATCAGTAAAGAGCAATGTAACAGTTGTTGGCCTTGCTTCACCCAAATTTAATCGATTGAATACTAGAGGCATCAAGTTAACACTTGCTCCCAAATCACATAGGGCTTTTCCATTGAAGTGTTTGCCTATGTTGCATGGAATATAAAAACTGCCTGGATCTCTCAATTTGGGTGGGAGCTTTCGCTGCAAGATGGCACTACAATCTTCAGTAAGGGCTACTATTTCAAATTCACCAAATCTCTTCTTCTTGGAGAGAACATCCTTAAGAAACTTAGCATACTTAGGCATCTGCTTTAATGCTTCAACAAAACGGGATGTTGATGTGTAATTGCTTAAACATGTCCACAATTTCTTGAACTGAACATCTTCATCTTTCTTCCTGAACCTTTGAGGAAGGGAAGTGGCGACATTTGTGTAGCAGGAGGGGGGTTGTCTTCCTCTTTTTATCATCAACTTTCACCCTCTACATTCTTTCCTCGAACCACATCATTGAGATTTTCTTCTGTTTGTTTCCTTTTCTTGGTTTCTTCCTCTTCTACTACACCACCTTCTTCTGAAAGCTCATTTGTATCAAGTTCAGTCACCATACTGTTAGTGATGTCCTTGCCGGTCTTACTAGGCCTCTGAATGTCAAGTAGTTGCTTTCCACTTCTCAAACTAATAGCTTTGCACTCTTCATTACCATCCCTTTTTGGATTGGGAATGGTATCACTTGGTAAGTTGCTTCTTGTGAGTACATTCATTTGTGAAGCCAGTTGACCCATTTGAACCTCGAGATTCTTGATAGCAGTTTCATGGAGAGAAAATGTAGCCTTATTCTCAGCCCTTGCAGATTCTTGATTTGCTAATAGTTGAGCAAACATCTTCTCAATTTTAGATTCTTCCTTTTGAGGATGCTGCTATTGCAATTGATGTTGCTGTGGTTGACCATGAAAACCAGGAGGCCCCATTTGTTTAGCACCAGATGGTAATATTTGTGGTGGATTCAAACTTGGCCCATTTTGCCAAGAGAAATTTGGGTGATTTCTCAAATTTGGATTGTAAGTCTGAGAGTAAGGGCTTCCTTGTGGTCTTCGCTGTGCATTATTCATATAATTGACAGTCTCCAAGGTGTATGGGCATTGATCAAATGATGTCCTCATTACAATGGTCACAAGTGTATCTCGGAGCTTGAAGTGCATGAACTCCTGTAGCATTTCCTTTCTTAATTTGCAATTCCAGATTGTCAAATCTCTTAGATATTGCTTCGAGTTGCGATGCAATATCCCTTGATGATGAAGACTGGGCTCCTTATATCTCCCAGAACTTTCCTTCTCTTGTTATACTGTTGCATAGTGCTAGATGCCACCTCTCTTCATACAGGTCATATAGCTCATTTACCTTCATCTTTCCGATTCCTTCGTTTGAAGCGGTATTCAGCATTGTCACTGTCTGATCATTCAACCCATTCCAGAAGGCTTCCATTAGAACATATTTCTTCTGCTCATGATTTGGACATTTCTCCACATTCCTTATATTTCCCAAGCCCCGTAATACTCATCCGGATGCTGCTCGAAAGAAAGCAATTCACCCCTTAATGTAGCTCGTTTGCCCTTGGATAAATCTGCCTTGAACTTAGATACAAGCTCATCCCAAGTCTTAATGGAGTGTTCTGGTAAAGAATTCAACCACGTTTTCGCCTTGTGAGATAACGACATGGGGAACAATCTCAATCGCAGTGCATCTTTAGTAACCCCATTTGTTTGAAGTTCTCACAAACCTCTATAAACTTGGTCAAATGCTCATTCGGATCATCCTTAAAATTTCCTTCAAAAGTACCCATCATCCCCAGTAGTTGAATCATAACGGGCTTGATTTCAAAATTCCTGGCTTGAATGTCTGGTAGCCGGATACTTGAGTGAAAAGTCTGCCCTTCTTTATCCAAATAGTCATCCAGGGTGTACACGTCGTTCTCATCTTCCTCCGCCATGTTTTCTTCTGATTCTGATTCAGTGGTGGTGGTGGTGGTGGTGGAAGTAACTGAGGTTGTTGTTGAATCTCCGGTGTGTTTTCAGTTTCTCCCGACCTGGATACTTCTTCAGTAACTTCTTCCAAAATAACTTCCAGTCTTCCTTGCATGCGTCAGGGGTTACCTGCACATTCAAATCAAAAACAAAAGTATCAAACTTATCAAGAGAAATGAACAAAATAAATACTACTACTACTACCTATAACCACTACAAATGCTAACTGAAACTTAAACTTAAGCGTAACCAATCACACAATAAGGACAATCAACCTCAAACACTCTAGCCGTTAGTCCCCGGCAACGGGCCAAAAACTTGTTCACCAAATAACTTGACCGCAAGTGGACGGGTCGCAAGTAATATAAAAAGTATCGTTCCCTCAGAGACTAAGGCTAGATGAGTAAAAATCATAATTGTGTACTTGATTAGGTTAAGTGAAACAATTGTTGTAAAGAGTTTGTGAAATGAAATTAGGAAAACAATGGTTTAAAAGCAGTAAAAATCAAATCGACCTTGAAACAATTAAGAGACTAGGGTTATTCTTCACTAAAGTACTTCATGAAACTGGATTAATTACTTCTCAAGTAGTGTTTTTTACATAAGTTCAGTTAGCCTGGGTTTGCAGAATTGATTAGCTTTCTCAAGTCAAAACCAAATGTTTGCAATCACGATTAAAACACAATATATCTCTTGCACTGTTTGAAAAGATGCACTTTAAAAACCAAAACCAAAACCATAATTTAGTCTATGCTGTCAACAGATACATCTCTGTTCTATCGACAAACCATCTATTTACTCAATTAAATTTCTGGACTAGCATGTTTTTACCAAAGTTCACGAATTAGTTTAACTTTCTCAAGTTAAACTAATCAATCAATCAATCCAAATGATGGCCAGACAAAAGGAAGCATTAAGCTCAAAGTAAAAACAACTGAATATTATCATTAACACTCAAGAGATAGTAAAACCAAGTCTCAATCCATACAATAGATCAAAATAACCCTAGAAAAACGGATTTAGCTATACATATCGAGTAAAGAACTACAACTATAAGAGTAGCTAGTAGTCATAGCAAAACAAGAAGGGAAGAAGAAGAAACCCAGAAAATTCAAGTTACAAGCTTTGAATCTCTTCTAGCTTCAAGCCCAAAGGTTCCAAGCCTCCAAAACTCCAAACCCTAGCAGAGCCAGCCTCCAAAATTGCTCCAAAGTCGAAGTCTCTCTGAAAAACCGAGTATCCCCCTCTATATGCCCTAATTTTTTAAGTTCCAAGTAAAACGCACAGCTACGAGGGGCCAGGCACCGCGGCGCCTATTACAGAATGTCATTCCTTCGAGGCTCCGGCGCCGCGATGCATGTGGTAATCTGTCGCGGCGGATTACACCGAACAGGCTTGCTCTGAGATAGCTTGATGCCGCGGCGATTCAATAAGGCGCCGCGGCGCCTTTTACAGAGACGCGCACTCATTCTTTGTTGTTGATCTGTCGCAGCGTTTTCTCCCAGAGGCCGTGGCGGCTGACTTCTTTTCAGCTTCTCTCCATTCTTTACTCTCCTCAGGCTTTGTTTCCTGCAAAATGACTTTCAAACCTCATAAAAGAGCGTTAAATCAGCTTAATTCAGTAGGAATTTTGAGAGGTTATCACATCTGTTGTTGCTATTTATCATGGGAAAAAAGAGCAAGAAATCTTCTTCAAGTTCAGCAACAATTGACATGATTTCCAAAGTATCATATCAAAGTTTGCATAATGCCACAGATGGATTCTCTATCAACAACTTGATAGGGTCAGGGAGCTCTGGCTCTGTATACAAGGAAGTTTTGAATCTAATGACGTTGTTGTGATATAGGTCATCAACTTTCAAAAAAAAGGGAGCTCACAAGAGTTTTGTATCTGAATGTAATGCACTTAGAAATGTGAAGCATAGGAATCTAGTAAAGTTTAAACATGCTGCTCTAGCATAGATTACAATGGCCATGAATTTAAGGCTCTAGTGTATAAGTATATAATGAATGGAAGCTTGGAAAATTGGTTGCATCCTAGAATAGAGAATCTAGTTCATCTAAGACTTTTGCTCCTTGATCAAATACTAGATATTCTTATTGACATTGTGTCTGCATTAAACTCTCTTCATAATGAATATGGGCAACCTCTAATTCATTGTGATTTGAAGCCAACAATGTTCTTCTTGATGGCATTGGCAACATTTGCTCATTTGGGTGATTTTGGATTGGCAAGACTGCTATCAATTGTTGAAACCATCTCTAATGAGCAAAGCAGCACAATTGGAATAAAGGGTACTATTGGCTATGTTCCTCTAGGTATCATTTAATGAAACTTTTTTACTACAAGGTCATGCAATCCATTATGTTTTCTAATTCAATTTTTTTTTTTATATTTTCATCCCAATGATCATATATAATTAAGAGAGGATTGATATGGTTACAATGTTTCAGAATATGGAATACGTTCTGAGGTATCAACAAAAGGTGACATATATAGCTTTGGCATTCTCGTTTGACTAAAAGAAGACCCACTGGAGACATGTTTAAAGATGGCCACAATCTTCAAACATATGTGAAAAATGCATTTCCAAACAAGCTTTTGGAAGTTGTAAGCCCAACTATTTTTCCACAAGAATTAGAAGAAGCAATGGTAGCATCAGGAGACATATCAGAGAACACGATGCAAATCCCAAGTAATGTTGAGAAATGCTTGCATTGTTTGTTTATGATTGGGCTTCCATGTTCAAAAGAATCACCTCATGAAAGGATGAGTGTAATTGATGTCGCAAGGGAGCTAAATTCCGTCAAAAGCTTTTTTCCTTATGGTGAGTACAACATCGTCTAAATATAATACTTTTGTTTGATTTGATTTGCACACGTAAAACCAATTTGATTTTCTCATTTAATATTTTATTTTTGCTGCATCTCGTTTTTGGATTTGTTATTGCAGGTAAGGGAATCGTGTCTGTTCAATTTCCTTGAAATAATCAATCTGTGATTGGGATGATCCTAAAGTTGTTAGCTTAGGCATCTTTATTTTGTGATGATTTGTGACATAAAGGTAGATCATCATAATGTGTACTTTATGTTTATGTTATTATTTTTATGGGGTTTAGACATGAGAGCAAATCTTCCTTTTGTTTTTTTTTTTTGGTTAAAAATATGTTCATACATGATTTTTAATGGCTGCTTTTCAAAAGTGATGCTTCTCATCAACGAGATCGAGGGTAGGATTCATACAATTAAAATTGAAAGCGTCCATTTTTCGACCTCGTTCACTTTAAGAACCTCTTTGTTCAAGTGACAACTAACAATAGTACACTGATACTCAAATTTAAAACCATATAATTTTCATGAAAAACTTAAAATTATTGTATAATAAATAAATGATAAAGGAAAAATTGTTTAAGTACCTGCCAATATAACTAATGGACCAACCACCTT